CTGAGCGACTAAATACAGCACAGAGGCAATATATGACTCAGTCATACTCCACTCACTCTTAGCTATTATATACTCTATGTGTATATGTTTCTAACTGTTTTTTTTTGTTTGTGTGTTTGTTTGGATATTTATTTATTTGGCTTAATTGAAGGTGTTAATTGCAGCACACGGGATTTTTCACTGTGGCCTGCAGACTTAGTTGTGGTATGCATAATCTTTGTTGCTCCGCAGCCTGGCGATATTAGTTCCCTGACCAGGGACTGAACCCAGGTTCCCTGGTTGGCAAGGTGGATTCTTAATCCACTGAACCACCAGGGAAGTCCCGATTTCTACTTGTTTTATTACTTTCTAACTTGTCATTTCAAATGTAAGAGGTTGGATTATTAAGGACGATTTTCCCCTCACATTTTAACAAGCTTAGCTATATAAACTATAGTCTGTTATATGACATACTTTATTTGCTGTGTGATCAATGAGTTACAGATGTACTGCAAGATGGTTATCCATGCAGTCCCAGGAGTGGCTGGTGCCTCTACATAATTCACCCCTGGCCAGAAGCAGTTTGACATAAGAATTCTCAAAGAGTAACCCAAAGAATCAGAGTCTGATGATCCATTCTAGTGTGCCCTGTGGTCCCATAGGAGGCAAGCACATGGGGACTTGCTTTATTAAAGAAAGTACCCTCAAATAAAGGAACAAAGCCAAGGAATGTTCTATCTCCAGGACATCACTTTCATAGGCCTGTTGGAGTATATATTGCTGCTCATCACAAACATTGAGCCCTGAAGCTGCTGGAGGAGTGCTTGTTCCAGGCACTCAAGGAGCAGGACTCAGAGCCTAATGTGTGGCCAAGAAAGGCAGGGAGGTCTGTCAGATACTCCTCATGGATTCAGCTCTCCATCTCTTTATATATATTGAATTCTCCCCTTTGCTTATGGCTGATGTGTCCTTTTGTTACATCCAAGTTAGTTGTGGAATTATTGCTTTCATAATACAGTCATACTCTGTGAATTGAAGTTTCATCATTATTTTGTAAATTATACCTAATATGAAAAAGTTTGAGTGGATTCTAAATCCAGTCATGTTATCATAAGATATTATCACATTATGTTTTCTGGTGTGGAAAAAGTAAGAGCTATTAGTCATATATAATTTATGCTTGTAAATTTTGAATTTTTGTGAAATTATTTTAAATTCATCACCTACTTGTTCTCATCAATATATATAAGATGAATATAAATGCTCATCAATAATGACTACTAAGTGATCACTGTCAAACTGTCTTGTTCAGGAATTAGATGCAGTCATTTCGATCTTAAAACCCTACATATAGAATGTTATGTTTATATAAGCAATCTTGGGTTTTTCATTAAATTTTTGACAAACTTTATTTGGAAGCTTACGCAAATTCAATATTTAATATCAAACTAATATCCTTAATGTTCTTTTTCACATTATAACTATATAGAGAAAATAACTTTTTTCCACCAAGCCCCACATTATTGCTTCCAAATCCCCTCTAATTTATCCCAGTGTGCTGAACAAATATCATCATGATTTCTATGGATGTCATGATAAAAGGTTGAGAGCCACTCCTTTAAATTTTATTTTTTTAAGGTTTACTCATTTGGCTGCATTGGGTCTTGCAGCATGCAGGATCTTCACTGCAGCATGCAGGATCTTTCGTTGTGGTGCATGGACTCTCTAGCTGTGGTACATGGGCTCAGTAGTTGGTCCACAGAATGTTATCTTAGTTCTCTGACCAGGGATCCAACCCACATCCCCTGCATTTCAAGGCAGAGTGTGAACCACTGGACCACCAGAAAAACCCTGTTTTAAACTTTAGATCAGGATTCTTAACCTAGAGCCCCTTAATGGATTTCAGGGTGTGTGAAATATGTAAGTGCATCTTTCTGGGGAGATGGTTAATAGTTTTCATCAGGCTCTCAAAGCTTAAGAACTAGCTGATCACAGAAATTGCAAAAGCTCTTTTATAATTTCACCCCTGAAGAACAGTAATACAAGTTAAGGGTTAAATGAACTCCAATGGCACAAGGATCCAGATCAGGTCACCATGTGGCTGTACTGGGACTGTAGGCAAAGACTGAAAGCCAATATCATAAAGCGTGCATTTGCCCAGAACTGCTCTGTTTTTCTAAAGCACTTTGTACATTTCTAGATTTCTTTTATATATATATATGTGTGTGTATTTCCTATGGGGCCTAGCAGAGGCAACTGAAACAACAGTACCATTAAAGCTTACTGTAATTATTTGATGAGTTTTTCACTGCTTGTTATTTGATGAGTTTTTCACTGCTAACAAGCTGTGATAGACAGACTTTTGTTTTTAAAACAGTGACTAGTATATGATACACACTATTTTCTAAATTAATGGTGAATGACTCAATGAACATGCACCAACAACTTCCAAATCTTAGTTTCCTTAAAAAGTCATACACCAGGAAAAGATATTTCTCCTGTTGATAAATTAGCTTTCTATTACAAACCTTATGTGAATTTGGGTGCCTTACAATCCTAATTTTGACCAGAATTTTATCACCTCAGTTGTGGTGAATAAAGATGTTCTATACCTACCTAAAAATGAGACATGTCTTGACCACAAATCTACTTTACCTGATGTTAAGAAAAGGCATGGAATCATGTATTTTAAAATATTTTTATTACCTTTTTGCTTGATGCTATTTTCTACACATAGGGTATACTCAGAAAATGCCGACTGCACTTGGAACAAACTTAAGAGAATAACAAAATTATTTTAATTACACATGGGGTTTTACAGTTTATATTGCACTTCACGTTTTTTTCACTTGAGAACAAGAATCCTGTGAGAACTCTGTTGAAGAAATAAACTAAAACTCAAAAACTTTAAGCCATTTGCTCAAGGTTTTACAGAAGCGAGGAACTAGAAGCGAGATCTCTAATTGCTAAGGTGTGCTCTTTCCCACTGTAAGATTATTTTGCACTGTAAGATTACCATTGTCCAAAAGAATTTAAGATTGTGTTGCTACATAAAAGCAGATAATCAGTGTTGCTGTCCCTGAGTCAGAGGTACATTACTAAGACTTACTGATTTGAATAACACTTTTAAAAATTTTATTTTTTATTGAAGGATAATTGCTTTACAGAATTTGAATAACACTTTTTTCTAGAACTGTACTTTGGTTAATAAGCCATGTTTCATTTATTTGCGTTCATTCAGCTTTCAGCAATGTAAAATTCTTTCCTAGGCATATAGCTTCCTGTTTCATCTGCTAAGCACTGGTTCAAAGTTCTTACTTCTGAACTTTGTCTGCTCTTTTCCTGTTTACTAAGTAGCTCTGGGAAAAACACAGTCAGATTGTTTAATCTGTGAACCGTACATCTTTGTTTAATTTTGGCTCGCAGGCACTCTTGACCACCACCAGGGGGCAAAAGCCTACCAGCTGGCTTCTCTGCTGTACATTCGACATAGGACTGTACAGTACAGAGACCCTCAGTGTCTGATTCTCACGGAACCTCCCTGCTAATTATTTCAGCCACAGGGCCCCAGGGAGAGAACAAAGGCTCGGCACAGAGGGCTCCAGTGGCGCTTAACCATACAGCGGCCAGAAAGGGCTCAAGGCAGCTCTGCCAGTTTACAAGAAGCAATGAGATCCAAGAGACGGAGTGGCAAACAAGTGGCGGTGGGTTAATAACTGCAAACTCCTGAATGTCTGCGTTTTACAGACATGTTATATATGGTGGTATTTACCAGCACATCCACTCAAATTGAGAAATAGCTTTGTCAACTCTCTTCCTCTGCGTAATCAATCCATGGAATTTACATGGTGCGATTTCCACCCCCGCCCCCCTTAAATCTTGAATTTTCGTTATATTCTTGGCTTAGGTTCAGCTGATGATTTATCTTTTAGAAGAATATTTCCTTAGGATATTCAATCGACATTTCTCATGTGTCTATGAAATAATGAAATCTAGAGGCGAAGAGAAGGAAAACCCCAACGAGCAAATCCTGTTTAATCAAGAGACTTTCTTCCCAGCAGGAAGCAAGTGGGAGGTAAATAGCAGGTTGGACCCTTGTAACTCCGTGAGCCCAGCTGGCTCGGCTTCCCCCAGTCTCTCTCGGCCTCCCTGCACTTCAGGAATAATGAATGAGCCCTTAGACGTGGGCACGGGTATCAGAGGAAGAACGAGGGTACCATGAAGACTCTCGGGGTATAAAATTACAAATCCTTCTTTCTTTCAAAAAGTCTCATCATAAAACAGGGACTCAGAGCGGAAGGGTGGGAAAGCTCAGAAAAAAAGCCCTCGAGAGCCGGGTCAACGGTAAGGTCTCTAGCCCAGAAAGTCCCATCCACGCTCAGAGGAAGCGTTTGAAACCCCGCGGCGCCCTTTCCCACCCGGAAACTGGTTCGCCTCAGGATTTTCACCTCCGTTTCTTCTCACTAAGGTGGGTTAAGCTGTGCGCCCAACCTCGGGGGGCGGGGGGAAAGGTTGTGCTTCGAGAGTGGGGACTCCAGCGACACTCCCTCCCCAGCCGCAGAACCCGCTCCCGAGCCCACCCCCTCAAACTCGGCGCGGCCTAACCCGCGCGATTCCCGGAGCCCAGGGGGAAACCCCTAGAGGGGGCGGCGGCCCGAGGCGCACGCACCCGGCCGGCTTCCGGCAACTCAAGGGTTACGGCCAGGCGGCGGCGCGCGAGGAGGGGAGAGGCGGTTGCTGACAGGTGGCGCCTGCGCACTGGGAGCGCTCATTGTGCCCCGCAGCTGCCGAACCGCCCGCCCGCCAGCCAGCCAGCCAGCCGCCCGCTCGGCGCGTCAGTCTGCGAGAGTCCGGTGGTGGGTGCGGAGTCTGCGGCCGTTCGCGCGGCCTCCTCCTCCTCCTCCTCCCTGTGCCCCTCACCCCCACCCCACACCCCTTTGCCCCATCCCGGCTCCGTCCCCCTCCCGCCCCCCACACTCGGGACAAGAATGCCCTGCCCGGAACAGCCCAGCAGCGCCTAGATGGCTTTGGTCACGGTCCAGCGGTCGCCTACCCCCAGCACTACCTCCAGCCCCTGCGCCTCGGTGAGTCGCCTCCCGGCAGCCGCTCCGCTCGCTTCTGTCACTGCGGCTCCGCTTTGCCTCAGCGGGTCCCGCCGAGCGCCACTGCGCACGCGCCGCGCCGCTTCCCAGGCCTTGGCACCCGGCTGCCGCGAACCCCCCACACCCCCCATCTGAAAGACGAGTCGCAGGAACTACCGGACGTTGATTTGTGCCCCCGTCACTCTGAGCACCTAGCGCCTCACCACCCTCGCCCCGAAGCCCCCTGTGGCATGCTTTCTTCTGGCTTGAGCACTTCCTTTCGGGAATGAGTCATTCTTGCTTTTCACCCTCCCCCTTCCTTTTACCCTCTGTTGCTCTGCTGCAGGGAGAGGACCCCGGGATTCCTGCCATGCCCCTTACGCACACCCACATCCCCTTGCCCGCACCCATTTCAGGGAGCCGCTCCGTCTTCGCCCACCGCCCGCCCTTCTTTGGGTTCTCCGGGCGTCTGCCTTCCCCCTGGTCACTTGCTGTCTTTCTTGTGCCCTGTCCGTTGGGCTGCATTGGACGGCTGAACGGTAGTTACTCCTAGGGTTCTCGCCATCTCCCCTCCCCCAGAGGGTGGCGGGGGTCTCTGCTCCTTGGACCTCTCACCTTTCCTCGACGAGGTCCTGAAGCATCTGGCGCTGCTTGATGGCCAGTGCCAATTCAGTTACATCTCACAGACATTAATGCATCACACTCATTGCTCATGATCGTTCTTGTTCTCTAGTCGTGTTTGTATGGCTCGTTACTTAAGATGCCAGTGCCAGTGAAGCGTGCTTCCAGAAGGAAAATACCCAGTAACCAGCCTTTTCCTGCTGGGCCCTCTTTGCCTTCGCCCCACCCCCACTTCTTTACACTCCATTCTTTTAGGCTTTTTTTTTTTTTTCCTGGAAATATTTATTTTTTAAAACGAAATATTGCACCAGTGGGGCGAAATGGGATCTTTAAAAAAAAAAAAAATCCAGATGTTTTAGAGGGAAATAGATGGAATGAATATATGAGAAATTAGAAAAACCATTTGGAACTTCCTACAGAACTGTAATTTTAAAAACTAGGTTGGTGGGTTTAGTAGTTTCAACTTGCAAACACGTATTCAATATATACTGAAACACCTTCCACTGTAAAAATTTGGGTTACTCTTAATTTATATATTAACTGAGGCGTGCGCTTTGACATCTTGAAAACATGCTGGTTTCATAGCAAACATGCTATGATTTCAACATAGTTTCCTGAATTTCAAAATGTTGTTGTGTAGTGTGTGGTGGTTTCCTTTTTTTTCCCCCTGAGCCAGCTTTTGCACTTTGTGTGACTAAATTGGCAGCTATATCCTATTCTAGAAGCGATTATACTTCAGAGGTTACCTTACCTTGTTTGCAGAAGAACTAGCTGGGATCTTTGGATAGAAGTTCAGGGAGGCAGATTTTCATGCTAAGGAAGAACTTTGTAACAGTTGGGTGGACTGCCTTGCAAAATAGTGAGTGCTCATTTTGGAAAGGTTCAAACAAAAGGCTGGAGGTCCTTTGGCCTAGGAGATGGTGTAAGGGCTCTAACTCTTAAGATTATGTGATTTTAGAATAACTGCACTTGAAAGCTAGTGAAATACTTGATGGTCTTCTGAAGACAAGTATCATAAGATTGGAAATTTAATATGTTAATCTTATATGTGGTACTTGATGCTAGTTTTTGGAAAGTCATTAACATACCATCAGACCAGCTTAATTCACTCTCCTTGTAAACCTTTTGAGGATACTAGTTACCAGGCCTGATTTTGGCTGAGAGAGCAACTGAAGGTTAGTTGAGTCGAGCAAGTAAACCAGAAACCAGAATTATATTGACATGGTTTTCCTTGGGCATTGTTGAAAACAATTGGTGCTGTAATAATAATATATGTATATCATGTTACTATACTTATTTTCTTGAGGTGAATGATTAGTATACAGTAACACCATATGTATTTGATATAACTTCGTTAGCCAACACTTGCTTATTTTAGAATCCTGAGGTATGTTAATAGGCACTTTGATATAGGTAATTAAATTGATCATGGGTAAGCTCAGTTCTTGAGCTAAATGACAGATATTTCTACATCTACTTGCTATAGTAGCCTGATTATTTCATTTTATATATAACCCTGGGAGAAAAGGAATCCTGGTACTGGGGTGTGTATGTGTGTGTGTGAAACAGTCAGTGTTGTCAGTATAACTATGAGCAGTTACCTTTCCCTTTAAGTTGTCTTCCTATTCCACTTCACCCAGAGCTTTTTCAGCTGAGTTTTGTCATGGTCCTTGTATTCCAGTATTTGACTGCTGTCTGACTTGGATATTTTTGCTGTTGTGTCTCTTGATGCATGGAAAAGTTGAGTTGTTTGTTTTAAGAGAGAGCAGAAACAATCTACAGAACCATGAAAGGAGAGATTTAATTTTGTGAGACTGGAGATTTAGATGTTGTTATCATTTTAAGCATTCTGTTACAGTGTTTCACTATAGGAGGTAAGACATTTTAATACTGTCAGCTCTTCAGTGTTTTTTCTTTAGGGATTAAACAAATCTATTGATCATCTACTGGGTGTGAATGACTATTATAGTAGTAAGATGTGTAAGATATTGACCCTGTTCTTCAGGGTCATGTAATCTTGGGAGGGAGGTGGAGAGGGAAGGCATAGAGACTAGAGGAGGGGCAAGAAGGAGATGAGAGAGTAGAAAAGGAGTGTGAGGGGAATGAAACTAAATGTATAGCAACAGCCAGTTTGTAAATGGCCATAAGTATTGTATGAATTCAAATTAAGATAAATTCACTAGTGGCAATAGTAGTGAAACCAGTCTCTAACATGTAACTACCTTACATAGATTATTTAGTCTTCACAGCATGCTCAAGGGAAATTTCTTTTATCCCCATCTTACTGATAAAACTGAGGCAAAGAGCTATTAAGGAATGTACCCAGTGACACTCAGCTGTTGAAGATGTAATTCAAACCCAGATGTGTCTAACTTTATAGAGTCTTCCATCTTTTTCCTTCTTGAGAATCAAAGAGAAGTATAACATAGTTAGGTGACTCTTGAACTAGGCCTTGAAGGGGAGGTTGAATGTTTGTAGACTGAGATAGAAGCTGGGGAGTAGAAAGTGTTCCAGGTGGAGAGAAGCTGTATACATCAAGACTCAGCAACGGAAACATACAAGGCATATCTGAGGAGATTTAAATAGACCAGTTTGAGGAAGGATTTGTTTGGAAGAGTGGTAATAGATAAAGCTGAGGAGGCAGCTAGGGCTGCAAAGGGACTGCTGAGTTTAGGAATCTGAACTTGACAGAGGTGGTTATAAAGAGTCCTTAGAGGTTTTGAGCAAATATGATCACAGTAGTGTTTTAAGAAAACTGATCCACCAGCTATGGGCCAGGGGAGTTGAGAGAGGGAGAAAAGGCATGAGTAGAGCCTGTTAGAGGCTGTTACGGTGGCCTAGGTGTGAATAGTAAAGGCTTGAACTGGGAATGGGAAAGAGAAGGACAAATGCAAGGGACTGTAGAAAAGACCCACAGAACCTGGGGCTTATTGGATATCGGGGAGGAGGGATCAGAGCTGCCAACTCTTGGAATATATTGTTCTTCCCAGATAATAGATGGTTTTAATTAATTGAAGCAATTTAAGAATGATCTCTTACCTTCTATCTTTCTGGTATGAATTTTCTGAACAGATATCTATATTGACCGAGGGTTATATAAACACAGTGAAATACCATAAAAATCTTTTTCTTTTGTATAGTGCTATATACTTTTCAGCATGTTTTGTGTTCATGGTCCGATTTGATTCTAGAATAGCCTCAGAAGTTACACAGGACAGATATCAATGTTAAAAGGCTTACTGAAGATGACAAAACTGGTTGGGATAAGATCTAGCACTAGAACCAAGTTCCATGGCTCCTGGTTCATATCTCTTTCCATGGTGTAGTAAAACAAACAACATATTGGTTTTTGGTCCTGAGAACTTGACTGCCAGTAAAGGAATCAAGACTTGAGATGCAATTAAGAACTCACACTGTCTTTTGAGTTCATTTATATATTGTCTGTTTTGACTGTCTAGAACAGAATCATCCAAGTCTGTACAAATCATTTTTTGGTGATACCGTTATTTGAAGCCTGTTCTCTCTTAGTTTACACAGAAATCTCATAAACTTGAATATTTAGTTTCTATACTCTTAGAAGATTACCAGCAGCAAAATATGAATGGCAAAGGTCAGGTGCTGCTAAAGGCAGGCTCCTTATAGTTCTTGAAAATGATAGTTGATGTTTTTACAGCAAGGGCAGAGGAAGAAAACCTATAAATAGCTGACCCAAGGAAACAATTTAGCAGTTAGGGACTACTTAATGTAAGGATAAGTATATTCCTCTAAGACCCAGTACTCCTTTAGAGCAGCTATTATATAGTTATAACGATGACCCCAAATCTTTATAAGAAAGCTTAATCTTATTTTGTCTTGGTTTAAGCAGTCAGGATTGAGGAAAGTGTGTTTGTAGATAGAGACCCATCCAAGTTTCACCAAAGTCTTGATGTTTAAGATGCACATTTTAATTAGGAAATTCATCTATCTATATATATATACAAATGGGGATGTGGGATAAGTAGATATTATTGCATTACATATATTCAAATATGACCACACCTCTCTCCCTAGGCAGAGCAAATAAAGCCATAAAATATGAAATTGACTTATATGAAATAAAAGTGATGCTTTTTAATTTTTCAAAGACAGCTTTAGAAATTTTCTTAACCTATAGAAATAATACAGGCCAACTGTAGGAAATTTGGAAAATATGGAAAAGCACAGAAAAGAGAATGAAAGATATGTGCCATACAGCTGAGCGTGTGTTTTTATATAGCTGAAGTGTTGCTGTATGTATAATTTTGTATGCTTTTTAAAAAAGTTTTATGTATATCATAGGTGTATGCCAAATCACTTAAATGGCTGCATTGAGTAGTTATAACTCATTCTAACCTTTCCATTAT